GATGATGATGAATATGATGAATGATGATGCACCATATGCTATATTATGAGGATTATTATTATGACGTGTGCATCATGCATTCATGTGCATCCGGACTTCGGTTCAGGACCTCGATTACTTCGGCTTCAATCCCATTGTGCGGATGTGAAGTATTTTGATGTGCTCCGGTTCTCTAGTAGAATCGATCCTATTGATAGGGATCTATGGAGGGTTGATGGCCCAGTGTCCATCGAGATGTGATGATTGGTACCACATGCATTGAGTAGTGTCGCATTGCATTTATGAGTCTTTTTGTATAAATTATGACATTGTGGCCTTTGAGGCATAATTGAGGAATATGAATGTGTTGAATATAATTATGATGTCGTTTATGCATTAATTGTTATACATTGATTATTATGAACTGTTTTAGTCACCCTGCCTGTTTGAATGTTACCTCCACGTGGGTATCGTGCAGATGACCCAGTTTAGCCGTGGATGCCGTCGAGGAGTACTTTTGAAGTTTTTGAGTGTTTTAGCCTTTTGGTTAGCTTGGAAGGTCTTGCTCTGATATGTAACATTGGGTTGGGTTCTTTGAGTTGATTTTATACTGTTGAAGTTATTTTGATTAATTTCCCTTTTTGAGGAAAACTTTGATTTATGCTTTGAGTTCCGCTGTTTTATGATGTTTTGATGTATTTTGGGGAAAACTCGTAGTTATGGAGTATGGACCTATTTTGATGACTTTGAGAAATGTACGCCCTTTTGGTGGTTTTTTATTGAAATTTAATTATTTACTCTGAAATTTGTGTAATTTTGCCATGATAACCGTGGATAGAAAAGGGTGTTACATAGGCTACTCCCCTGAGTCCTCATAGGGATAATTTAGGTTGGTGTTTGGTTGCTCTAGGGAAACGGATTGGTTCTGGGTTTGAGGGGGCTATGTGTATCTTCTTCCTCATGTACATGAAGAATGAAAGCTTTCAATATAAGGAAGACAGGTCATCCGGCTGAAATGACTTCAAAACTTTCTACTCCCTCTCTCTGTATCATCCTGAGTCTATTGTGCAAAAGGTGTTTTAGCCAAAATTTGTCAAAGGGGGGAGATTGAAGGCTCTAAATATTTGACTAAAATTATGGTAAAACATGATGTTGCACAAAATGTTCCAATAAGAAGAAATCTACTGAAGGAAGACATGTCAGTCAAGATGTCCTAGCATTATGGACTCAACATCCTGATCTTGTGCAACATATTTGTTGTAGATCAGGTCCAAGATTTAAGGAGCAATCAGAACATAAATCAAGGAATAAATAAGCAAAGATTGTGAAGCCCATGGATAGATAAATATTATAAAAGGAAGACCAATACGTAGGGCATAGCAAGTAGGCCGAAGAAAGAATTCTTATTAAGACTTTTGTATAGTAGAAAAATAAGGATTTAGGGTTTTGAGAGTCGTGTACTTTGTTGTGTTGTAAATCACCATCTGTATCGATTGATACATTGTGGTAGACATAGTTTTATAGATTCAGAAACCTGTAGGTAATGAATTGTGTATTGTTCTTGGATGAAGCTTTTAAGCAAACTCATGCATGATTGTTAGTCAAGAGTCTTGATTGAATATTGTATTGGAAGGAATGTCTTTCAATTGAACAGTCTGATGCAGTTGCTGAAGATTGTAACTGTTAGATATCACTGAGGTGATTTAGGAATTGAGATGGGGTTCTCTTATCTAGATGGTGATTTCTAGATAGAATTGTATTGGGTAAAGATTAAGTGAGTAGTTGTAAACCAGGGAGTTTAACTCTAAATTAATACTACTAATAGTGAATTTATTCCTGGCTTGGTAGCCCCCAGATGTAGGTGATTTGCACCGAACTGGGTCATCATATCCTGTGTTATTAATATTTTGTTATGTTATATTCAGTTTGTATCTATACTTTGAAGTACATGTTTTGACAGATGTTAAAACATCTGTCATGACACTGTTTTGACCTTGAAGGTTCAGAGTGTTCTTGATTTTAAGAGAACAAAATGTTTTTATCCTTGTTCAGCTTTTAGCAGAGATCAATATCTCGACATCTCTTAGGACATTTGTGATCTACTTGCCAGAATTTCACTCTCTATGGGTACATCTGCCCTCAATTCGAATTCGAATTGACATGATTGCAATTAAACTTACTTTGTAAAAATTATATATACAAGATATGGAGAACTCTAACCCTACAAACTCTATGTTTATTTTTTATTTTACCACCACCAAAACCCTTGATCAAAGATTGATCAAGTCCTCAACAATATCGCTTCAATTCACCAGTTCTTGTTACTACCTTGCAAGACCTCCTCGTCTCAAGGTTTTCACTCGGCCAAATTAATCTCAAGCGCAAATTTATTGAACCCAAGATTTAAGAACACGATCTACCATCTCACGTTACTCCCTTGCAAGGTACCCCTTGTCCAGAGGCTTTCACTCGATTGGATTTGAATTATGCAATCTTGTCCAAAACCTTCAAATCCTCAGTGATCTTGAAGAAAAACCTCAGCTTGGTTTTCTTATTTGAAACCCTCAAATAACTCAACCCAGTATTCTCGATATAACAACCTAATTAGACGTTAGCAATCCTCATCTAGATGGTCACCCAATCAAAAATAATTATTTATAGTTTGATTGTGTATATGCATATAAGAGAGGTTGAAGAAATGAGTATACTTTAAAATCCTGGTTTCATGTAGGTTTTACTCTAGAACCTTACTAGAAATGATACATGTATCAAATATTTATAAGTATGCAAGTTTGGAAGTAAAAGGAATGCAAAAGAATGGAGAAAACTTGTGATTTTATAAAAAAAAAAGATGCATCGTATGTGTCGACCTATGAAAGCTATAGATCGACCTATGAAAGCTATAAATCGACCTGTGAAGGTCTTGTGTCGCTCGTGTGTCGACCTAAAGCAGTCAACACATGGACAGAGCCTACAGGCTTCAACATTGAGGCATGTGTGCCGACCTATAGGTTTGGATGTGTCGACCTATAGCCGTATGTGTCGATACATGTTATAAATGCACTTTCTATGTGTTGACCTATGTTGTACTGTACTTTAGAAAATTTGTTTTCAATGCAATTTTTAATGTATGTACTTTTCTAAAATATTTTAATGCTTCCTAATGCAAAGATGCACATATAAAATTAGAGGATACCATCGAGTATACATTAACGCAAAAGAATCATAGTTTTGACATCATACAAAATACATTTAACGGAAAATTGCATTCACATTTTTAAGGTTGTAGCTTCTGTAATGCATGAGTCGATACATAAAGCATTTCAGGTCGACACATACGAATTATGAGTTAACACATGTGGGTCATTTTTAAAGCCTGTAGTTTTTGTTTGATGTGCCGATTGTGGAGGGATTTCAGGTCAACACATAGAAGAAAATTTTATTCTATGAGTCGATACATGCTTCGAAATTATCGGCACATACGATGCATTTTTCCAAAAATTCATGATTTTTCAAACCTTTTGCATTCCTTTTGTCTCCAACTTGCAGACATATATATACCGCACACATGCATCATTTAAAAGACACAAAACCAAAAATATACAAAGTGTTATCTTTATCTTTAACCTATGTTCTATGCATTCACACAAACAAGTTACACATAATCATTTTTATTTATTTTGGTGCCAACTAGAATCAGAGTTGATAACGTCCAATTTATGTTGTTGAATTGTAAATTGGATTGAGAATATTTGAGAGTTTCAAATAAGAAAGCCAAGCTGAAATTTTCCTTCAAGATCAATTGGTGATTTGAAGAATATCATTTTATGTGAGAACGTATCATATGAAAATGTCATTTTTATGTGAGAACATGACGATGAATCTGAACTATTATATTTTAAAATAAATAGTGGAAATTATATGTGCCTTTTTTTCTCTCTCCTCCATTATTAAAATAAATTATGGAGGAGAGAAAGAAAAAAAAAGACACATAATCTTTACCATTTATTTTAAAATCTAATGGTTCTGATTCATATTCATATTCTCATATAAAAATGACATTCTCATATGATACGTACTCATATATATATATATATTTAAAAAATCGATTCGTCTAACATCTTATCATCTTTTTCATCATAATTTTGATGGTTTGTGATCGTAAACCCCATCGGAGAAAATCCATGCCGGAACCCTAGTAGAAGGAATCTCAAAACCCTAGCGGAACCCAATGATTTTATAAATTTAAAAAATATTATAATTTATAGCTTCTTTAATTTTATACTTGTATGGTTATCTAACTTCCATATTAAAATATGTTATAATATATTAATCTATATTAATTTTATTCCAGCATAGCAGCATTATCTTCAAGATGAGTTAAAAAAAAAAACACACTATATTGTGGCATTATGCAAATCTTTTAATCGCAATGCTAGAAAAGCTAGATCTAATGTAAACACGAGCTTGTATAATTTGTTCAATACATTTCTAAATGGATGTTTAAAGGTAGTTTTCAGAACTAGCAAAAAAATAATTTAAGAATGTTGACCAAAGAAGATAACAACAACAAATTAAAGAGCATAATAGTTAAAGACCCGCTGGCATGTCATTTTTATAAATCAATTTAATTTGTAAGTATGGTTTTTAATAATAAATATAATTTCCTTTACTGTTCATAAATCTTATTTATAAATTATGTTATCTCTACTCTATTATTAATGCTGTTCATTGTAACCAAAAAAAAGTATTGGTGCTGATCATAAACTATTTAACTTCTACATTATTTAAATAGCAGTTTTTTTATAACCAAAAAAATTATTTAAATATCTTTACAAAGTAAACCACAATATTAAGCAAACTAGACAAAACCATGTGATGATTTAGTCACTTTTAGAAAATTGATTTTCCTAGCTATCTTTCTAATTAATTCAAGAGCTTGCATGATGCTATATAAAGTTACAATGTCCTTATAGTTCAACATTCAAAAAACTATTACAGAGAATAACTTCAACTTGAAAATGAAGAACAAATATTCCCTAGTAGCTTGCATGGTACTCTTAAGCTTCCTCCTTGTTTGTCAAGGAAGCAGCCTTACCAAGGATTTTTACCAGCATTCCTGCCCTCAAGCCGCCGACATAATTAAGATCAAAACCCTGCAACATATCGCTGCTAATCCGGTCTTACCTGCTAAGTTGCTTAGGATGCATTTTCATGACTGTTTTGTCAGGGTATAAATCAATATATCATGAATTTTATGTACTACTATTTGTTGTGTGTGTTAATATGTGTTAACATATTGTAAACATAAACATTTCAGGGTTGTGACGGCTCGGTTCTGTTGAACTCCACTGCCAATAACACTGCAGAAAAGGATGCGATTCCGAATTTAACTTTAACTGGCTTTGATGTCATTGATGAGATAAAAGTCGCGATCGAGGCAAGATGTCCCAAAACTGTGTCTTGTGCTGACATATTGGCCTTGGCTACTAGGGATGCTGTTTCTGCACAAGTAAGCTAACAATTTTTTAGTTTCTTACAAGCAATGCCTGCATAGTAATACTATATAACAAAGTTTAGCCTCAAAATTTCTTCTATTTTGCAGTTTAATAAACCTATGTGGGAAGTACTCACTGGTAGAAGAGACGGTACAGTATCGAAAAGTAGTGAAGTCTTGGACAATATCCCGGGGCCTAACTTTACTTTCACCCAACTCATACAAAACTTTGCAAGAAAAGGTCTCACCCTGCATGATCTTGTCGTATTATCAGGTACATTGATATAAATTGTACTAAATACAGAGTTATTAAATTGATGGAAAAATACTAATTATAATTTGTATATTTTATATATTTGTAGGAGCGCACACAATTGGAATAGGCCACTGCAACGCCTTCAGTAACAGACTTTATAATTTCATGGGAAAAGGCGACCAAGACCCTTCTTTGAATTCAACATATGCTGCATTCTTGAAGTCTAAATGTAAGAGTCTGAGTGACAACACAACAAGGGTGGAGATGGATCCTGGAAGCTCTAGGACTTTCGACAGTGACTATTATCCTAACCTTCTTCAGAAAAAGGGTCTGTTTCAATCAGATGCTGTTCTTCTAACACAGGACCAGGCAACAGGTATTGCTAAAGAGTTGGTTAACCAAAACAAGTTCTTCACAGAGTTTGCACAGTCGATGAAGAGGATGGGAGCCGTTGGTATTCTCACAGGCTCTGCTGGGGAAATTCGGATCAAGTGTTCTATTGTCAACTGATAAATAAGTATAAAAGTTGAGTCTAGTAAAAAGGGGTTTACTACAATGTCATGAAAGAAAGAATATATCGTCAATAAAAGTGATAGAGTATATGCATAATGCATGGTTTCATATTATTGTGTATTGCCTACTATATTTCAATTATGAAAAATAGATTATCCAAACATCATTGGAGTTTAATAAATAAGTTATTAAATTTAGATCACAGGCAACCAGGGGGGAGGCATCCACAGCACTAGCTGTGGATCCAAATTTTAACTCAGTCCTCCCCAGCAGATACACTAGCATTTTAATTTTCAATTGAGACATTTCAAAGACCAACAAGTCAAGTAATCTGATTTAAAAATGTTAAAAGTATTAGCAAATCTGAGTACATAACAATCATAATGGAAAGAAGGCTAAATCTGAGCACTTATCACAGGCCACTTAATTTCAAAGATTTGTTATATGTTCCTCAAATCAATAAAAACTTTAGTAGATGATCGCAATACATGCCTCAAATCTCATGATACTTGTTGCTTAGGGAAGAACAAAGGGGCAGGGAGAACTCTACCGGAAGGGAAAATTGTTTTAGTGTCTCGGTTTCTGAAAATAGAGAAGTAAAAGAACCTACTGTGTTAATTTCTGTTGAAGAAAATTGTCTTCCGAAGTTTGGCTATCCTGCAGATAGATATTTGATCAAATGCAAAATACCTTTGAATCTAGTACATTCTGAATCTGAAGTATGGGGATCCAGCACCAACAAACTCTGTTTCTGGTTTCAAGTATTATGTTCATTTCATTTTATTGATGATTTTCGTAGATTTATATGGTGTTACCTTCTAAGGCAAAAATCAGATTGAGTTACAACTTATAAGCTTTTATTCAATTTAAAATCCTTGTTAAAATCAGTTCAATATAAAAATTAAAGCAATGCAGTATGATAGAGGAGAGTGTTTATTTAAAATCTAATAAAATTGATAACAAAAGCAATCATCATGTCCATACACATCTGCTCAAAATGGTAGGGCAAAGAAGAAAGATAGATTTATTGTTCAACTTGGATTAACATTGCAGGCTCAAGCTAGAATGCCCTCGATTAGCGCAGACACCGGTTCTTAAAAAAAAAACAGCTAAAACATTTGGATGTCCAATTTCATAATAGGAATAGAATGCAATTTCATATAAGCAGAACAGTGTCATAATGAAAATAATTTTCCTTTCCTTTCATACAAAACAGTAGAGAATAACTCAATAACTAGCCATAAAACTTCAAGGTGCTTTACAAGGCACATGAAAAATTCTGGAAAAACAAAATAGTAGACTAAAATATAACAGAACAAGTAAACAAAAACACCTCACTGATGAGGACAAAGGCCAAAATTTCATCTTTTTCCAGCAATCCTCAACAAAGGAGAAATTATCCCTTGTATCTCTTGCAAGGACTGTTGAATCCGTATCTCCGCCTCGACCGTGCTCTTGAGATTTCTTATATGTTGCTTGAGAACTTCAGAAGCCCTAATATCATCTGCCCTCATTTCAGCAACCTTATTGGCCAATCCCAATAACAACCTAGAATACTTAGGCACAGTACAATACTTATGCAAGAAAGCCAAAAGCAGTTCCAGGTTCGCCAAATCCAAATCAGAAACACACCTCAACAGTTTCTTCCTAGACACCAATTCCTCCATTACCGCAACCACATAGCCAGGATTCTTACCTTCCAATACACACACTAGAGCCTCCCCGTGCCTAAACTTGTTCAAAAGCTTATCATGTGCTGTCAACTTCACTTTCTTTGGCTTCATAACCAAGTAATCACCCTCAGATGGTTTCTCTCCTTGCCCTCTTTGAAAATACCTATAGTAATTACTTGTCAAAACCTTCTTCTCATTACTCTCCACAGGCCTAATTCTCCAAAATGAACTATCCTCACTCTCCCCAATCTCAGTCTTCTTTATCTTCCTCTTCTCAGTCTTCCCAATCTCAGTCTCCTCAATATCAGTCTCCTCAATCCCAGTCTCCTCTATCCCAGTCTCCCCAATCTTGGTCTTCTTTATCTTCCTCTTTGCAGCATAAATTATTCCATTGGAAGTTCCAATCACCCTAGTAGCACAATCTGGCGAATAGCCAAGAGACAAAAGAGGTGCAGGGAACCTCATTGAATAAGTAACCTTCATAGAACCATAGTCAAACACCTTAAAATAACCATCCAAACCAACACTCATTATCCTATTTTGATTCGATTCATCTCCAGAATCCTTCCCAATTCGACCAACACAAATCGAAGTCACAGTCTTGTTGTGACTCTCCATGGAATACAGAAGCTTCCCACCTCCAATCAAGTCCCAAAGCTTAACAGAATTCCCACCGGCCGTGGCAATAATCCCTCCCGAAGGCAAGAAAACAACATCCTCCACAGGACACCCGTGGTTAAAATCCATTGCAGATTTCGAAGAATCCCTAACCCTAACATCCCAAAGCTTAACAAGATGATCATACGAACCAGTAACAAAAGTATCAGAATTAACCGGAGAGGAATCACCGCACCTGACATAATCCTTATGGCCATAAAACTCATGAATCACAGTCCCCTCCGCAACATCCCAATACTTAACGAGCGCATCATCACCGCCGGAAATAAGATGAAGCTTATCATGGTGAGGGTAATGAACAAACCGAACAGGGCGATTATGAGATCGAAGACGACGGAGAAAAGTACGCTTGTTGTTGACATCGAAGACCTGAACGAGACCGGAGAGGTCAGAAGCGGCAATAAGACGTCCGTCGTTACGGAAGCAAACGGAGGAGACGACGTCGAGGAAGGAGGAGATGGTGGCGGTTTGGGAGAGCGTTTTGGAGCTGAAGATCGAGAGGGAGGCTGAGTTAGCAGCGACGAAGGAGTGAGGTGGAGTTGGTGAAAACGTGATGGAAGGGATGGAGAGGAGTTTAGGGATTTGTTGGGTTTTGAAGGAGGACCAGTATTTTGATTCGGAAGTTTGTTTTGGAGTTCGTGGTTTGGTTTTGAGATTTGGTTTAACTGGGAAGGTTTTTGCTACTTTGGTTTCCTCCATTGATGCAGAAGCTAAGCTAAACCCTTCACTGTGTTTGATCTTTTGGTGAATTAGGGTTTAAGGTTTGGGAGTGGCGGCACTGTCACACGGTTCAAAGAAAGCCCGCAGAGTATACTAGTAAAACATCATGCAAAAGGAAATCTTTGTATTCTTTTTTATTTGAAACTGAAAAAATGTTATTCAATTAAGAATTTTGTTATATTTGATAAATGATAGTAGTATTCAGTATTCAAATGTTTGGTTGGACACTGTTGGGATATCTAAATTTGTAATGATTATTATTAATAGATTTAAGAAAATTATGAAATTTAAATAAAAAATTGTTAATATCAAGGGTTTTTAGACTTTAAAAATAAAGCATAAAAATATTGTAAAATTCAATTAAGATATTTATAAATTAAAAAATGTGGTATTAAAATAATTGACGAATTGTTTAAAATTTAGATGTTAATGGACTTTTTAATGAGATTTTAGATTCACATAATTTTTCTTCATGGTAAAGATTTCTAAAGGTTGTTGTTTTTATATATTTTAAATGTTTCTTTTTCATTTTCTATTTATTTTTTATTTGGTAAGTTTTTTTTTTATTCAAGTGTGGATGATGATGATAATGATAGGATTGATGAATTTGTATGTCATTGTCTTCGTAATGTATTTAATGGTGGCGATAAGTTAATGACAAGTCTAAGAGCGGGTTTAAGACTTTAGAATAATGTGTTTTGGAGTCTAAGCTCTTAATTTAGACTTTATATTTAGGTTTTATTAACCTCTACATGTCAAATATATTTTAAGTTGAGTTGTGTAGTTGGATAAAGTTAAGTATGAATTAGACTATGATAGTAAGGAAGATCGAGCAATGCAGAGAACTAGGCAAATATCTCTTATAATCCGGATCGGTCACATAACCCGACTCCCATCAGTCAAGCTCCTATAAAGTCGAGTACAGATCCCATCAAGTCGGTACTTATGTCGGACATGAGCTCAACCGACATACCAAAAGTTCTAACAGTGGCGACGCATCAATGCGGACGTTACCAGAGCTTCAAAGTCTACATTCATGAAGGGGAGTTACAACAATGATGGTCATGTAAAAAACTTCTCTTAATGGCATATCTTAATGGAAGCCGATAAAAGGGACTCCCACATGAGGGTTAAGAAAGACACAATCATCTTGAGACAATACACAACACCGGTGTAGCTCTCAAATCCCCAAATATCCCTCACAATATAGACATCGTAGTTCTTCTTGTCTAGGACAAGGGGAATTAGCATATTTGGTGTGTCTAACCATTTTTTGCTAGAACGTTTGGCGTCCACCGTGGGGCCTAGGTAAAACTCTCTCAGGCCACACCTTACACTAACAACATGTCCTCTGAAGTAGATCCTCCAGACATGGCTCAACTGCTAGCCATGATGGAGGTCATGCATCAGCAGAATGAGACGCTGCAAGACAGCATACAAGTTCTGCAACAACAAAGTCAGGCTGATGGCGACCAGATGAGGATGTTCTCGAGCCACAACCTCTTTCTCAAGAGATATGGGACGACCACGTCCTGGAAAACTTTAAAGCACCATTACTAACCTCTTATGATGGGAAGACGGATCCTCAAGAGCATGTTATTGCCATTAACTATCAGATGGTCATAGTTGCCCCTTCGAATTCACTGAAGTGCAAGCTCATGGCCGGTACCTTTAAGGATGTAGCTCTAAGATGGTACATGAGCCTTCCTCGGCTCTCAATCGTAAGCTATCAAGACTTAACTAAGAAGCTAGTACAACACTTCTCGGCAAGCAAGCGCTGGAAGGTGTCCACGACCATACTGTTCAGTGTTCGACAAAAATAGTCAGAATCACTATGTGAGTACCTGGCTCGATTCATTGAGGAAACCCTCAAAGTATCTCATCCAAACCAGGAACTATTTGTGGGAGATTTTCAACATGGATTACGAGTCGGACAGTTCAATGAGTCGTTAGCTCAGAAGCCGGCTACCAGCATGGACGAGATCACTACTCGGGCTGAGTGTTACATCAAAGGAGAAGAAAGTAACCAAGAGAAAAGAGCTCGGGACAGTAGTGAAAATACAAAGAGTAAGGAAGAGGCGTCGAACAAGAGAAATGAGTATCCTTAGGTAGCTATGCACGAGCGATATGCTCCCAGACCATACAGACAGTCATATGAGTCGGACAAAGACCTCACCCCATTGAATATAAGCAGGGGAGATATCCTTAAAGAAGTCGGCCAATTGAAATTTTTGCTTCCAACTCAAGCGAAACTTTTGTTTCAAAATAGAAATATGTATTCCACATAGCCCATACATCTGATTCTGGAAATATATCTCTGGTTCCACACCCTATTATCTTGTTCCGGAGATGCATCTCCAAAACTTGTCCTGAAAAGGTTTGAAAAGAGAACCTCTTTTTTTGCAAAAGAACAAATGTTGTTATGGGGAAGATCAAAAATGCATTAAGACTCAATATGAATGTTGAATATATTATTACACTTTATTAATATTGAGACACAATTACATACACTTATTTTTCTGGCTAAAGAAGAAATTAAAATGAATCAAAACATATGTCGTCGACTAAATCTATGGGTGGTACCCCCTTTGACTTTTTTGCATTTGATTCTCTTTCAACGTTGCTTAATTTCTCGAACTCTTGTATCATTTCCATAAAATGATCTGGCCAAGTCTCGGCTTTTGTTGTTGAATGAGTTGTCCACTACGGTGATGTAAGTGGTATAAGGCATCCCAGTTTCAAGTAAACTTGAAAAAGTGACGTGATTTTGAAAGCCACTCAATGCACATAATACGATCATTTGGATTTTGAGGTGGGGCGGTGTGTAGTGGGAAAAAGGTTTCCGAATAAATTGTATCATGTCAGATCAACACACACTCTATCATACGCACATGCTATTAGGTGACTCATTTTAAGGAAGCGCATCCATTTTGCCTTCGGTGCCGGATCGTTAAGGCAAGAAACAAGAGACTCATAAACTTCATCGAATTTTTCTTTCTTTCTGTACATCCGTGTGTATGATTCCTTATGTATTACCAACTGATCTTGGATAAGTTGATGGCGGAAAAGTGTATAATTATCTTCATCTTTACCGAGTAAAGTTGAAAATGCTCTATTAGTTGTTGTATTTCCAAGGTGTCTGACCTTATCAGTTCAAGCACAAACAATTTTTTCCTTCATCTGGTCAAGAATTGTGCTTTCAACATATTTCAACAAATCAGGATACTTTTCACACACTTTCCTGAAATGCATAACTCAATCGACATATAGTTTTTTATGGTAGAATTTACTATACGGTTTCGTGCATCCATTATTTTTTCCACAACCACATCCGCCTTCACAATTTTTCCATCTTTGGACTCTATCTGTTTCGTCCCTACCACGGGTTTAACCCGGCTTCTCACATTCTTTGTTATATGATACCTACAAAGTAATGCATTAGAAGTATAAAATACATTTGCAATAGAATTCATCAAGGCAGTATCGCGGTTGGTAACAATCACTTTAGGCATCTCACCTTGGTCCTTCAACATTTCCTGACACACCTCTAAGACCCAAGTGTTAGATCTTGTGTTAGGGGTCTGCTGTAAAACATGAACAAGAAGAAGATGATGAAGACAATACGATGAAAGTTGCACAAAATAATTCCAAAGCGTGTGTTTACACTAAGCTTTAGGTTCGATTCGCCTCCACCAATTTATGCAAATTGGATGCAAAAGAGTTAACCGGCGAATCTCCTTCAGGATACTTTGGAAACCTTAATATGAATCGTACATTCACATTAAGCATATCGATCAACAATATTTTATAGAATAAAGTTCCATTATTTATTATTGTGCTCTAGAAAAATAAAAGAATGACTTAGATATAAATTTTGACATTTGAAACAAGTAATTTTTGTGTATATTTTATGCCTAACAAGTATCTCTATTTATAGAAAAACTTGTACGATTGGTGTGGAGAAACAATGTTTCATTTGATTCTAACATGACCATTCACGAACCATTGTATATCAATAACAATCTTTTTCATGAAAAGTTGTGTTAATCTGGTGGTTGCACCTTTTGACTACACACCCAATTATTATAGGGTCTCTGGTTCTATTCTAGACAGTTGCAACTTTTGGCCATTTATTTTATTAATTTAACCATTATTATTTATCAATTTAATATTTTGGAAATTTCTCCAACAATCCCCCACCATTTTCAAAATATATCTAAACCCATTATTCAGGAAATTTCATGGTTTTAGATAAAGGTATCTTACGATTTGAACCAATACTTAGTAAGTTAAGTTTTCACTCATCCCCGAATAAATTGGTAGACAAGCTTTGAACCAATTATTCATTAGAACAAGCGTGCATAACTCACACATGAAATCTCGGTACCATTGATCTAATTATTAATATGACACATTTAATAAGGTCTTGTGTCTCATATCCTTTTCATGAGAATTTAAGAGTCAAGCCCTTGAACTCTATGAAGCGGCACCACTTCATTCTTATATAGGTAGACTATATCAGAAATGCACCCATAATTATACATTCCAACAAACATATACTATATGTCTATTAAGAGGAAAACTTCATCCTACCACACTTATTCTTATGGTTCACGTCCATCTGATGCATCTACTATCGTTATTTCGTATCCACCTTTTTCTTTTCGTATTATTTTGTTTACTACACCTGTTGCTGTAGCATTATAAACATTATTATTACTTTTGCTTCCGTCGGGATAAATCTGACCCCTTCCCCTGTTCCCGCCTACGTATAGAGGATATTTCATGGTTTCAGATAAAGGTATCTTACGATTTGAACCAATACTTAGTAAGTTAAGTTTTCACTCATCCCCGAATAGATTGGTAGACAAGCTTTGAACCAATTATTCATTAGAACAAGCGTGCATAACTCACACATGAAATCTCGGTACCATTGATCTAATTATTAATATGACACATTTAATAAGGTCTTGTGTCTC